GGTTTGTTTGTGAGTATACCCTCACATCACACTAGTCCTTATAAACCTTTTTGTCTGCCCAGTATGAGACCTTTTCTCCATGCTTGGGTTAGTGATGAGGACCACCGCCGCTCTGCTCTCTCTGTATTTTTGGGTAAACACTGGCATCCATGCTGCTAAAACAGGTGAGTAATAGGATGGGTGCTGAAAAAAGGAACACACAACCTTTCATGTCTTAAAATGACACAGAGCTGAGGGAAAATGTTGTCAGTGGTCTCAAAAGTATTGATGCTTTCTGTTAGGTTCGAAATGTGGAATTTCTCAAGTGTGGAACCCGACGGTTTCCTCTCTGAGGGTGGTAGGAGGAACTGAAGCCATGTACGGATCACACCCGTGGTTGGTCAGTTAGTTCTTCTTTCAGGTTTCTCTCTTTCTTTCTTTCTTTTCTTTAGCTTACCTGTCTGATCTGACTGCTATTTTGCTTATCTTTAAACATGCATATCAGTAGTTAAAGTTATTGTTGAACTTTCCTTTCTTGTTCACCCCTGATGGTTATCACCGGCCATGCAGGCTCACCACGTATTCTGTCCTCCACAAACATGACATGGTTGCTCATGCTGGTATTTCCTGAGGATCACTCAATGACAAAGAGATGGGAGTAACCTTTTACACTATGAACCAAAAAGGACAGCTCCATGGAATTTTGTGGATAAATTGCTTCGTTGCTCAATTGCTCAGTTTAACCCCTTTAATGCCTAGTATATCATATTTGACACATACAATCTTTTGAAAGTTTATTTTTTAAAACTTTTAAATCATCTGTGTGTTTTTCCCCTAGAAAAATGTAAATAAATGACACCCAAAAATATAAAGTATGTAGCAAACAAAATACGAATTGAAACTTGTATTTTTTTAATTGTCAATAAATGCTTCACTTTCAAAAAATATATATTTCTTTGGTTATTATTTAGTGTTTCAGGCTTTAAAGGGTTGCTATAAAAACCTTATTCACCACCACAGTGGTACACAGCAATATGAGAGACTGCAACTTTGTTTGCTCATCATTTTAAACATTTAAACTTCACACATCTGCTGCACTTTACATGAATGCTGCATTCATGGGTCTGTATGAAAAAAGTGTCATTTTTAAGGCTGGCATAGCAAACTAAGAAAAGGGTAAACCAGCCTTTTCTTTTAGTGACAAACTGACTTGTGCTGTCGGCTCTGCTTAATCTTCTTATGGATCGTCTGTCCTCAGGTTTCCCTCCAGAACAGGGGCTCTCATTTCTGTGGAGGATCCATCTTGAGTGACTGCTGGATAATGACTGCTGCACACTGCTTCACATCTTTGTCAAAGTATAAAGTGTTATGTCGCTGACACGACTTAGAATTGAGCAGAATTGAATGAACATTTTATGTAACAGGAATAAACGATAAGCTTTGAATGTTCTCTTTAGAGAGTTTCTCAGTGGTGTGAGAGTCCTCGTTGGAGAGTTTGACCAGAGAGTACACGATGAGGAGGAGCAAGTCTTTCTGGTCAAGTCTGTCTCAGTCCATGAAAAGTACAACCCTGCTCTGCCGATGAACTATGACATAGCTCTCATAGAGCTGAACCAACGCATCCAGATGGGCAAGTTTTCTGTTCGCATTGGTTCAAAATCAAATAACGTGTCATACTGATCACTGTGTTC